GCTAACACTCAAACAAGCTTCCTCTAACTAAGTTTCAGGACAAAATTTCCTCTTACAACGAAATTGTTAAAAGTCAAGGAAATATAGAAAAAGAAACAAAAATTATCGTAAATTTTTGTCGAATTCACACGGTAGCACTACTACAAAAGACGAGTGTGTAATGTTTATGTTAGAGATAGAAGAACTGAGGAAAAAACGGAACCTTATGCAGAAAAGGAATATATCGATTAGGATAATTGTTGCTGCTATTCGCAAAATACTCTTTTAACTGCCATTTTGAGGCTAAAAAAGATGCGAATAGCATTGGTACTAGCACAGATATATTTGTATCTGCGCAGCTCTGACACCCAAATTGGAACAACCCGCAACGACGAGCGCAGCGGTGGAATTTGAGTTGGGGAGTTTTTCTATGAGCGGTTTTCATTCCTTTTGTCGAAATTAGATACTCCAGATTAATGTTGTAATATACTTGAATGCCGTTTTTAATAAGCATGGTTTACGAAAGGAGTCAGTCCACTGGGCCAGCTTCCAGAAAAAGTCAGCAGCACAAACGCTTCTGAAGAAATGGCGTTAAGTAAGGGACCCAGATATATTACTTAATGGCGCCTTCTTAACGTACATATATTCCATAACTAGGGCCAGAAGTACTCAACTCCATGGAATGTCATGTGCATGAACTACATTAAATATCAGCGCCTAAACCTTTTTCGCGTCAATGACTATTTGATTCACGTTACACCATACTTTTAGTGAGTAAACTTCGTTTTTCCTACATGTCTGAAAGATCTATCTTGTTTGTACATGATGGCCAGGCCTTTCACTGCGGCATGCGGAACAAACTAATCGTGAGACACTGATCAGACTTATCTGTGATTCTGGCCGTACAGATTGCGACAACTCGAGCTTCCTTTAATCCACCAGTTTAGATGCGGCGTGCCATGATGTTTTTAATCACGTATGTTCCGGGACCTCAACTTGGTGTTCTCGAAGTGCGGAGTATGTGGTTGAATGCTGTCATATCCGACTTCAGGGTCTTTTATGGAATTGCAATAGGTGAAACATGAACGAGTTGGGGTTAAGTAATATTATTTGATGCCATCCGTATCCGATGTTTGAACAGCATCAGTAGGCATTCGCTGAAAGCGCAACTGCTCTCGATTAAGTAAGCGTCACTGATTCAACTATTAGCAATAGAAACAGAAAGAATGGTGTCACCTCCTTTAAGGCGACGTATGTTCTTTCAGTCATTACACCGTCATTTCCTTCAAGCGGAGTTTCATTTTGTGGATAATTTCAAGTGATCTTTTATGAAGTTAACAAACATATTCAGGTGATCGCGTTTCGTAGGGAACACTACTGAGGTAGAACTCAGAAAATGAGCATTCCCGTGAATATATATAACCTATTTTGAGTATTTTTGTATGATACGTCTGCAGTATTTGATAGCTTTGATCTAAGAAGAGTAGCCTTTTATAACACGTTTGCAAACTTGCGCAAACTTACCCAGTATTGCAAAAATAAATGAGAGAAACATCGGTCTCATCTTAACGTTCATATTCAATATATAAACCTACTTTTTTAGACTTTTTGGACTTCTTTAGACTAGGAAACAAAAAAAAGATTTCAAAGTTATAGAAGTCTAGCTAAGGTTGGCTTATTTAAGAAAAAGTATATATATATATATATATATATATTGCATATATATTTACAAGAAAAGTATTCTTCAAAACAAGGCAAATATTTCAAATCAAACAGAAACTATTTGAGAAAGCTCAAAATTTAAAGTGTTCCATAATATGTGTTTCGAAATTAAGTTGCCAAGCCTTCGTCGGTCGTTTCTAGCATACAGCAATCTACTTCTATAGTAGCCATATGTTCCTAATTATTACTTTTGCGATGAGAACCTACATTAAAGATCAGGCAGTTCTAAAGAGGCAGTGTAAGAACTGTCTAGATAGCTACATTCTTAATGCGTCTAGAGAATAAAGAAATCATAAATAAATGATCCTTTAAATTCTAACACTAAATGCTCAATATTTAGTCTTTTAAGGAATACTACACCCTTTCCGCTTTTAACATCGGTGTTAACGATTTAACGAGCTAAGGAATAGTATCTGGATGCGAAGCCTAAAGAGTCGCCCGTTATGCCCGCTATATATTAAATTTGTGCTAATAAAAAAGATATTAAGGCAAATCTCACAAGACACCAAGTAAACTTACGGATAGTACTAATTTACAGGGAACTAGAGGCCTACCTCCCTTTCGGAATGTGACTCAATGAATAAGAGGACATTTTCTATTGCACCGTAACGTTTACGATTTTCGTCGTATGTGATAGGAGTATCGCGTCTACACAAACTTAAGCGCACACGGCAAAGCCTGGTATACCTGGCCCCGCGAAATTTACGGAGGATTCCATAGCGACGGCTTTTTCGGGCGCTCTGTCATAAACCGATCACTTTAGCTGCCAAAATGGACGGTTCGATCCGGCGCCTTTCGAAAGCTACTGTCTTATTAGTTATAAGATGTGACACTCGAAAGAAAAGGAACTGTCAAGGGACCAGGAATTGTCTCACTATGTCGAGTCATGAATTAAAGAGAAATCATCATTCCATGGTTTGCAATGTTAATTTCATCATTAAGTGAGCTTAAAGCGTTTTTTTTTTTGTATAAGTGATACCAAAGGCTAGTGATATACTTGGAAGTGGAAATATAATGAATAGTGAAAAATCTTTACCTTCGAGCATCTAATCTTTATGCTCGTATCACATATACAGTTGTTAGACAGCAGTAATAGTAGTAGACCCACATAATCATAGTCAAATTATCTACGATAAATGTAATATATACATTTATATTTATCACTGATTCCTTTCAACTTAATGAGGATTAAAAGCTACCTTGAACTAAGTAAACGGTCCTTAGCAAATTTATTGTAGATGTTAGAATGAGGGGATCACAGCTCAATTCGGTAGCTGTGTTCTCGATTATGATGTCTTGTATCAGAAGAAGAACCCTCATTCGCGGAACAGAGTATGGAAATAGTTAATCACTGATCCGTCCGTTACCATGAACAATACGGTAACTTTTGGACAGCCTAGATAGGAGAAACGCATGAAAATTCTTATGAGTATCGGATGTAGCATTTTTCCCTATTTGTTAGTCTTATAGGTATGGCATAATCTGTACACTGTCATTTCACATGTTCTCTATGCGCCGTTGACAAGTCTTCATTGTTGAGCTATGAAGCTCCTAGGAATGCTCGGACAACGCTCTTATTTGAACCGACATAAAACGTCTAAGTATACCTTTGTCCTGTGGAAATATTACTACTAGTCTTTGTTAGTGCACAAAGCGATTTGTCGTTACGCGCTGTCCAGTTATTCATCCAATAGAAAATGAGTGGAGTTAAAAACCAGTGTGTTTTAGGCACAGTTAAATCACATGAGAATCAATCATCCAGCTGTGCAATTAATGAGTAAAGTGTTAATAAGCAAAATTGACTGATAACCTATTCTGTATTCAAAATGCAATGTTATGCAAATGAATAAAAATACGATTAGGTAATAGGGACTTATAAATTTTTTAATAGTCCAAGTAGGAGTTTCTTGCTTAACGTCAACGCTTATAATTTAAGTGAAGCCACTGTTTCACCAAATAATAGATCTTATTTCAGCTAAGATTAAGGATAAAGAGGCAAGTAACCAAAATTAAGAATTAGACGAGGTATAAAAATAAACCTATTGGGGTAACGGAGTGTCTCATAATCGTCAGTGTTTACCAAGTAGCGTTAAACCAGCAAAAACATAAGCGGAATGCACCTAAAGTACTCTCATATTCAACAAATATAGGTTTAAGAATATACGAGATATATATCTGATGATATGAGAATAGATATACTACTTTTATTTGTTCTCCGTCATAATGATATATAAACGGAAATGCACTTATCTAATAAAATTGTAAGACACCGGTGTTTGGTTTTAAGTAATCGAATTATCTTTGAGTCAAGCAATCTCTTCGTACATCTTACTATGCCAACTATAAAGGACGTCGTTGAATATTTTGATCTGGTTTTTGAATATAAATGATACTACCAGTAACTTTATCATAAATAGACTCGCAAATATTTTAATATCAGGATTTGCATTGGGAACTAGTTCTTTAAATACTAATTTGAAAAAAGTGCTAACAATCGGCATAATATACAGGCTTTCTAATATTCCGAAAGTGATGACAGCAGTTTTTGTAAATAGAATAGATGAATACGATTTACAAATGTATGGGAAGGTAACATGGAAAAATGGTACATGCATTACAGTTCTAGAAGCATTGCTTTTAAATTTAAGGGGTCAACTAGGACTCGATGAAGAACTTTATAGAAGAAGAATTTTATTATATATAGAAGGAATAAGGAAACCATATTCTTAAACAGAAAAATAGTCCCCATCAACTTATATTCTATATATTGTTATAGCCCTATAGCCCCTAAAACCCCAAATATGAAATCGTTTTTTTATAAAAATAAAATCGTCTTTGAAATCTTTTTTCTAATGACGGCCTGCTTTTAAGTACAGCAACTTTTTATATGCTTTAGTCTTAATGACGTTCTATCATCTGCCACCCAATTTATTCGTTTCTTCTCTCCACAAATATTCCAATATTCCAATATAAGAACTCGTCCGTCTAGGTTTTGTGACCATTTCACTGCCAATTCGCATTTGCTCTGTTAAAGTTAAATGTTGCAAGGGGTCTTCAAAATTTCCATCATGCGCGGCATAGCATTCTTGACTTGCCTTGTCTATTCTGTTGCATGACCTCCGTTTTTTTATGCAAAACGTGCCATCTACAAATCCTGTACTTCTCAAGCGTTTCTTAGAATATGAGACCCTTTCGGTCTTACCAGACACAAATCACCAATGGAGATCTGTCCAACTCTGGCCTTGGGCATGTCTGCTTAAGCTACCTATTATTTTCTCTGCCTTATATCGATGAGGAGACACTGGCTGTCTAGAAACTTGTCGTTATGGCGGCGTGTTGTTCGTCACAATATACTTAGAGGCCATGACAAGCCGAGTTTCTTTGAAATCGCTACTTAGTTCGGGCACCAAGCTTCTAATTTTTGATTAGGTCTCATAAGTCTAAATTACGTATGGACCGAAGGTTATTTTCTTGCCCAATTTAGAAAGTGTTTGCTGGTCGTGTTCCTCAAAAGTGCCTTGAATCGGCCTTTATTGCTTTCAGACATCGACCAAGCTAGGGTGCATCTTTCAGGTCTGAGACGCTATTCTTGTTTTTCGCGAACCAGTTCTAAACAACTTTCTCAGTGATCGCGTCGTCATTGTACACGGCACAAATATCCAGTGCTGCTTCAATAGCTGTTTGATTGCAGATAGAGTAGGTATAGAAAATGCACTTCGTTCGCCTGGAAGCTTCACATTTGGAGCCTGAATTTGACATGAAAACTTTGTCATGACGCAAGGAACGTACAACAAATTTATGAGGAAGAAAAATCACTTTCTAATGGTATATGGAACTGAATACGTAAAGGCGAAGGAGAACATAAGGAAAAAACCGAGAGTACTTGTGTTCCAATTGAATATAATATTAAGATAAGATAAGCAGATTACTGAACTCGCTCTGTTATAGGGATGTGTACCATTCAGTGGTTACCTAATACAACAATAGTAAAGATGCACTTAATTAAATAGAGCTAAGATTAAACAAATATGCAAGCATGTTATTCTACTTGGATTTGTTGTTTTGTTTATTTATAAAACCCAAGAGTAATATTAAATGGGTGAAATCGCATTCTAAAATCTTTTTTTTTATAGTAGTCATGTTCTTACATACACCAGATGGTAATTTTTGTAATTAATTTCGCTCGTCCATTGAAAAAGCTTTTTGATACTGGAACGAAATTTATTAACGTGTACCTAAAATTCAGGCGAAAATATCCGTTAGCCTTGAATTTATCCAAATCAGGGTTGCAGTTGCACAGTTGCGCGCGAAAGACGAAGGTAAACCAGAATGAAAGTTTTCAGACTTTCTCTTCAGACAGATTTTTATATCTGGGAAGCAAAAATTGGCGCAGAATGCCGATGACATATATCTTGTCTACGAATTTTGGCAGTCATTAAATGCATAGCTCCAAAAAAGTACAGACCTCTTGAAAATGAAAACTTTAAGCGCTTCGACTAGCCAACCTGTGATAACTGGTACGACGTTAATAACGTTTTTTGCCAGTGGAATCGCACATCTTCCCTTAAAGGAGGCCTCCATCGAAGTTATAAGTGAACTCCAACAGTACATGCACTTGTCAAGGGATACGCTTCTCCGATTTATCCCCTCAGTCGGAATCACAGTAATAATAAGAGCAATAATAAATACACATCGTATTTTTTTCTCTCTTCTTCGTTTCGTTTATTTCTTCTTTTTCTTTTTCATTTATTCTTGTTGCATAAATACACCCTCTGCCGTTCGTTCTAGCTCGGACTGATGCAGAAAGACGACAGCCACATCGCCATAGCGACAAAAGCAGCGGTACGAGTAGCAAACTGTGCTTTCTCATAGTCCGCTCGTCGCTGGTGCTGCCAATGCTTTGCTTTCACCCCCGTCTAACCTCTTTCAGTCTTCCCTATACATCCCATCCACATTGGCTGATGTCGGTAGCTCGTTCTTATCGATCATCCGTTCATTGTAGTCTGTACATCCATACACAGCCACTGTCGATATAGACAATGGTCAGTCTGCATCGTTTTATCCGCCGCTGTCCTTTCCTTTTCAGCGTCTGCTGCTGCTTCACGCACGGGTTCTTCTACGTGCTTGTACTAGCAGCGGTAATAGATGGAATAGTAGAAGATCGAGGATGACATAAGATAAAAAAAACACAGAAAAGAAAGAGAAATGTTGCATCGTTTCGGTTTTCCTCTTCCGCTCCCTCCAGTTCTTTTATAGGTGGGGGTAGGGAAAAAAGGTATGTGTACAGGGGGTATACGGCCAGAGGAAAGGAGGGTGTTGAATAGGAGTGATGTGGGCTGAGAGCTAGAGCTAGAAACCACATGATCTCTGACAGGTTGGCTTGGCTTGAGCGAGCCAGACCCAACGACATCTACAAAAGAGCTGCTGGTCAGTGGTCGTTTCGTCGTGTCCGATGCTTTCATCAAATAAAAGGTAACAAGTTTCGCGGCAGTAAGCGAAACGCGCTTCGATGCTGCCGAGTTCAGTCGTCTAATTGACAGAACAAACGACCGTGCAGTCGATAAATGATAACAATAGCAGCGACAACGATGAAAGAAATTTCACAGAGCTGAACGGTGAGTGCCACGGTAACAACAGAATCGACGATTAACATAGAGACTACTGACAAAGAAAAAAAAGAACTCGGCTTAGGAAGCAACGGCAATGTTAATGACATCGAGGTAAAATGAGAGCAACAAAGGGTTGCTTCGCTTTCACCGAAAAGGATGGAGAGGACTGACAAACAAAACAACAACGCAACCTGCACACACAAATGCGTCCCCTTACCCTCCTTAACTATACGCACCCGCTATCCGGAAAAGGATTGGCGTTTGCTCTTGTTTTGATGACGACGCTGACGCTCAACGACTAAGGGGAGCAACGGATGACGACAAAACAACACAACTTGGGGCGGCAGGACAGCGACGAAAGCAGACACTGCCAGTTGGATGCTACCCCAACTGTGAAGGCTGAAGCCTATCCCAAGAAAATTTAAAATAAAACCCTTTGCCTAGCTCCCATGCTTCTCTCCCGCTGGCAACTTACACCAGA